AGTAATCCACTTGTCATTTTGCTGTCAATAACATTGGTAAGTATATTATCTATTAGTGTTGCATGCTGGGTTGTTAATCTACTTGGTTTTGTAATTGTTGGGTATAAACTGCATCTATATATTGTGTTAATAAAGTCCTCAGTTGCTATGTGCTTGTTAGGATTCAACAGATCTATATTAAAGTCACCACATATAAACATTAATTTCAGAAGCAAATATTTTGCTCCACCTTCTATTGTTTGATAACTTAAGGGACTTTTCAGAATCAGATCTGTAAATCAAAATACAGTATGTTGGTCCTCAGTGGGATATTCACAAACTATGCAGCAGTAATTAAAATTATAAGCATGTGAGGTAGTTAACATTAGCTCCACCTTTACCAGCTGCAACATTACTGTGATGAACATCAATGCATTATGAACCTGTAATATGATATATATAAATGTGAAATGTGCCATTCTGCATAATGAATACTTTTAATTTTGGTACTTTAAAAGTACATGTTGATGCTGATATTTTTTTTACTTTTACTTAAATAACATTTTTAATATATTTTGTAAATTTTTTAGTTGCGGATATACCTCTTACGAAAACAATGTGAATCCTTCTTCCACCACTACTTCTTAGCACTACTTCATGTTATGAATATGTCCAGAGCAGCAGTGGAAGTAGTATTCAAGTCTTTTACTAAAGTAAAAGCAGAAATATCACTTTGTAAAAACACTCAAATTAAAAAAAGAGTCAAAAAAAGTCAAAGTATGGGAAGTAGCAATGAAAAATAAATACAAAAATGACACTGGTGGTAATGTAATCTGAAGGGTACAGTGTCTTCAGTCTAGAGAAAGCCGTTAGCAAATATTTCCTTTGTGTCTGTATAAAGATGACTATTACAAGCCTATCATTACGGAACAGTTACACAATTAACATCTTAACTGGCATAATGTGATTTAGTTTTGTAACACTGCAGACACTGATATTATAAAGGAGTCTGACATCTGTTTGCTAACGCTGCTCTCAGATGCGAGTCTTTACTAGTTTTAAAGGAAGTTTTGCTGTAGCTCATTCTGTCAGTGTGACCTAGCTAACACTGTGTACAGCTGTACTTTCATGTCAACAGCAGTGTTTCTTTTTATTTTTATGTCTTCATGACTGTGAGTCAGTTTCCATGATATTGTTTGTAGGCACAGCTTAAATTGGGAAACTACATCTGGCTATAGTTTAACAGTTATTTACATTCTCAATTAATATGGTGATTATTTTCTTGATTAATGGATCATTTGTTTTCCATTACGTAACAAAACATCAGTGAAAAACAACTATCACAGTTTTCAAAGGCCTAATGTGATGACATCTTGTTTTGTGTGACCACACAAGGTATTCTTCTTTAAAATGATATAAAACAGAAAAGCAGAAGATCCTCAGAAGTGAAAAGGTGTAACCTTTGAAGATTTGGCATTTGTGCTTGAAAAATGATAAATCGGTTATCAAAATAGTTGACTGAATTGGTTCTACTCCAGAGAAAAAAGTTCATATCATTCAGCCAATGAAAAGATGGAT